AGGCATCACAGAGACAGAGACAATGGGTTAATTGCAAACAACATTGCCAGGGGTTGCTATGTTGCTAGGTGGTTAATGAGCATAAATATATGGAGTATAGTACTAGGTGATTCCCAATTTTCAAATATATATATATATATATATATATATATATATATATATATATATATTTACAATCAAGCTACGAGGAAAAAAATAAAACATCATAGTATAGTTTATCAGTACTTATCATATGAAATAAACAAATGATACCGCACTTTAATATGAAACAAATTTTTTAGGGGTAATGTTAAATATTACAAAAATAATATATGGATTTGTTACAATATTATGAAAATAATATGAGGGGTGATGATTGGATATGCTTGCATGTTGATTTATATAATTAAATAGATTATAGATGATATCAATGCTTGAATAAGGTTAAAAATGTAATTAGTGCTAGTGAGTGATGGTGTGGTTTGTTTGTATGTTGAGTCTTAAACTTGATAGGTTGTAACTTTATAGAAAGTATAGGTTAGAACATTTACATAATAATTCTGCCCACCACAAGCAGTTAATGTTGAACAGTCCCACATTGGTTGTGGAAGGGGAAAGGACCTAAGATATAAGTGGGAGAGCCCCTCACCTCAATGGCTAGCTTTTGGGGGTGGGAAAGGACCTTTACGATCCTACTGTTAATGCATTATATATGTATTATAAAAGTTCTCATAACTCAATGATCAACAACAAAGGTCTCTGCTTTTGTATGGTGTATGATACGGAGGGCTTATAACCAAAAACAAAATTCTCCTTTTGTGCCATCAGAACTGAGGCTGCCAACTGAACCACAAGAAGCAGACCGATGAGAAGGGTAATTAAACAGTTTCACAATCATTGTTAGACAGTAGAGTAGTTTAGTAGGAAGAGGAGACACCGAGAATACAGGCTTGCCACCACAAGGTTCTTGCGATGCGTCCCACTACAAGAACAGGCGTCCATCATGGAGTAATTGTAGGATCAGCAGATAACGAGAGGGTGGCAAGGATTGATGGTGTAATGTTATTCGATGAAATCCAGCTGACAGCAGAGGCTGATCATGGTCGCATGCCTCCCCTTGTCATACAAGACATTCAGCACCTGTGCTTGCACAGGATAAGAAATTGATGCAGCAGTAGTCCGTTCTCGTCTGATCAGCACTGCCTGTAGCACATTGTGAGGTATTTTCAAAGCAAATTTTACATTATATTACCCACCCAGTGAAAGTATGTTTCACTCTTAGAGTGTAATCCTTGAGCTCAAGAAAAATGTTCTTGTTGTTTGTGGGGTGGTTCTAAGACTGGACGTTTGGTATAATTTTTTTATATAGTTAAAGAAACTGCATTTATTAAAAGTATAAACCAACTTGATAGCTTTCATTTATAGATAAGTAAATTTCACAAAACTACAGGTATTTTAACCAAATTATCACAAAACTACAGATTTAAGGAGTTGAATCACAAAACTACATATTTAGCACCAAATTTATCACAAAACTACAGATTTTAGATTAAGTATCGTAAAAATGCATATTAAATATTGAACTTATCATAAAACTATAACTTTTGGAGTTTAAATCCCTAGCACCATTGTTATGGTGGAGCCATAAACATCAATACTTTGTGATTAAATTGATTCTAAACCTATAGTTTTGTGATAATTTAGTTACTAAATATGTAGTTTTGTGACACTTCATCTTAAATGTGTAGTTTTGTGATAAATTTGGTGTTAAATGTGTAGTTTTGTGATACACCAAGTTAAATCTGTAGTTTTGTGATAATTTGGTCTTACTATCTATAGTTTTGTGAAATTTACTCTTATAGATACACATGAACATAATTCACAAACCAACCTGTTGTAGAAATAACAACCAAAACATACCACGGGCAACACAGGCCAAGGTCCATGAATAGTAATGGAAATGAAACTACATCCCACTACATAATACTAAGGATGCGCTCACAGCAACCCTACGACTGTGTTCCCTTTGTTTGCTTTCCCAATTCACCCTCCTCTTTTTTTCGTGCGCGTGTTTTCCAAATTGCTAAATGGTGTGTATTTTTTTAAAAAAAATATATGTGTACTTTAAAAGTTATATTAATTCATTTTAAAAAAAACTAATACTTAATTATTATGTGCTAATGAGTTGCTCCATTTTACGTGCTAAAGATATTAGTTCATCCCAAAGCTGGGGGAATGAACGCAGCCTATGTATAGTTCTTTTGACTTCAACTTGGATTTTATTTTCTATTGATGGTAATCCTCAAGTAGGAAAAGGAGGCATCCGGAGTTCAACTCTAAGCTCGAATGAACTGAAAGGTGCAAGAGGGCTGTTTAACAGCCAAGAGGCAAAGCATCAACAGCGATTGAGAACAGTGTGTCCAGCTCCGTTGCAAATGAAAAATTCAATTGGTACTAATGAGTTGATATTAAGTAATGTACTAGTATTAATAAAGCTGACGGAAACATAATGTAATTATGCTTTTTTTTATCAAATGCTGAAAATATTGTTTGGTGGATTCGTCAAACATAACAGAGCGAAAGGAACGGAACATTCAGTGGAGCACTTCAGGCTATCTACCTCTTGCCTCTTATGAGTGAGGCAACAGCCTTCACCTATAGCTAGGCAGCTGAATGTTCCGCTGCATTTTCTCTGTTTGAACTCCTAAAAACAGAGCCATTTAGGAGTTCAAGTGTATTCTCCTGATTCATATTTGGCCTTAATTGAGGGTGTCGCATGTTCAATTCCCCACGAAGACGAAAATTGAGCTTGGACTTCTTCATTCTCCGAACTCTGGTTTCTTCAGCGCCAACAATGAGGTTTAAGTATCCATGAATCTTTAATCAAAGAATCAAAAGTTACCCAAAATTACTTATATCCTATGGAGAGTGTTTGTCTTGATCCAATGCCATGTTCTATCTATGGAAAGGTAAAGGACCAACACGTTCCATTAAACCAAACAAACTGTAGTGGGATTGAGGGATTAGATGCAATCCTATTTCCTAATCAAATTGGACACCTTAATTGGCCTTGCAAGTTAGCGTGAATATTTTTTTCTTTCGATTGCATTGAAGATGCAACAAACATAGCCTTATCACACTGTAACAGGTAATAGAGATGGAGGTATAGATGGCCAAAAGGCCCGAGGCCGGACGGCCTGGCCCATGGCATGGCATTTTGGCTCGGCCCAAGCACGGCATAGCCCGACGGAGGTCGGGCCCGTGCTGGCCCAGCCCGACCACCGAGCCGTGCCTGGCCCCTCCACCGGCACGTTGGGCCGGCCCAGCCCGACCAGGCAGGCCCGGCACGATGGGTCGGCAGCTAGGCCCGATACACAAAAAAAAAATAGAGGAGTAAAAATAGACATATTATATGCCATGGACGAAAGAATAGGGACCTAAGATAGACTTTTTTTATCTATACATATGTCAGCCTAAGAGGAGGGACAGAAAATAGACTTATTTTAGCTATACATATGTCAGCCCAAAGAGGAGGGACAAAAAATAGACTTATTTTAGCTATACATATGAAATAGCCCAAAGAGGAGGGACGAAAAATAGACTTATTTTAAAAAAGGCCCGATGGGCCACCCATGCCTTCGGGCCGGCACGACACGGCCCGACAGCTGGTGGGTCGTGCCTGGGAGGGAGGTGCAGCCCATGGGCCAGCACGGCCCGGCACGAAGTGCCTATCGGGCCGTGCCGGCCCGATGGCTGCTGGGCCGTGCCCAGCCGTACCTGGGCCGGGTCGGGCTGGGTGGGCCCTTTGGCCATCTATAGATGGAGGCCAGTGACAAATACTAACCTCACCAAATTTCTATTGAAAGCACACAAGTGTGAATATTTTTTTTCCAATTACGTTGAATACACACAAACCACTCCTTTAATTATCGAACACTCCAAGAGATGAAAACCAGTGACAAATCCTTGACCTTACTAACTACTAAATTCGTGTTGGAAGTGCCACCCACATGTGTTTAATCTCAATATATACCAAGATTTGAATCCTGGTGGGAACGAGAGACCATGACTACACTATCACATCACTATTGCTTCCCATGTGTATACATGAGAATATCGTTTTATTGATCAAGTATTAAAACGTGTATCATCAATCCTTGTCGAGTTGCAGATTATTTTCTAAAATTTTGTTGTATTCACACCACCACTTATTCATGAGGCAAGGCCTTCAAGCTTTTTTTTATTACTATGGTATTTCTATTGTTGTAAAGAATTTGTGCTCGCATAATAGTAATCAGTTTTTATGGATCATATCGGCATATACTGTGATTTTACAGCATGAAGATTGTTCATTATAGTATACGCAAGGCACATGGTGCTTCTTCTAAAGGCAGAAATATATACTGTACTATGTGTATTGAAACCACGTAGGTTCAGCTTTATAATAAAGAGTTATGGCATTTCTTTATGGAAGTTTAGAAAAAAAATATATATTATCAGACAATATTGTACATGCTAATTTTAATGTGGTGGTTTCCCTCTCTCTCCTTTATGGGCCTGTTCGGCTGCCCTTATTTACACTGTGTTGCAGCCTATACCAACAGTCATTTATATGTACAGCTGCAGCAGCGCAGCGGCTGCAAAGTGCAGCCGAACAGGCCCTATATACTTACATGTTTATAAACAGTGGGAGAAGACTTTAGGTTTGCAGAAATTCTTTCGTACACCAAACAAATTCAAACCTTCCGTAGTTCAAATTAATTGGTGTTTCACATGTGTTGATTCCGGTGTATCCACCACTCTGCTACCACGTTGCTGATAAATAGCAAGAATGCTGCGTTCAGTATATCCGAAGGGAGATAATTCATAGAACTCTATGGACGAGACGAATAGAAGACCTGGAGACTACAGATTTTATTTTGAAGAAATTACTGGCATGGCTTTGCCTGACAGGCAAAATATATTAAAACTCAAAGTTAATCGCGCTCCAGACAACAAGGCCCAGTAGGAAAGAGAGGCACTAGGAATTCAACTTTTTGCCGTGGGCAATCGTTTCATAAATGTAAGTTGAGTTAATTCCATCGTATCCACCACTCTACCACCACATTCCTCACAAACAGCAGTAACCTTCCATTCTATGTAACTAGTTGGTGACATTTCATAGAACTCTAAGGATGGCACAAGAAGAAGATCCAGTGACAATGGATTTTTTTTAGAGAAATTTATTACCATGGCTTTGCCTGATAGTTAGAACATATTAAAACTCAAAAGTTAATTGTGCTCCAGATAACATGGCCTGGTACGAAAGAAAGGCATTGGGAATTCAACTTCTTGCAGATAGAAATTGTTAACACGATATAGGTAGGATTCTACATAAAACATGAAGGAGCACCAATCGAACCCACATTTTCAGGTGAATTGTCAACTGTGAGGTCTCCTCAATTGATGAGAAGACAACCGAGGATAGCCAATTAAGCGACACGTCATACCTCAATTGCAGAACAGAGCGGAGGTGATGTAGTTTGGCACCAATATTCTCTTTATTGTGGAAGTAATCACTCACCGCTCCATAATTCAACTTAAAACCAGAACAATTGCCACTCCAGCAGGCCACAAACATATGTGTGAAAATTTGCAAAGGGGTATACTGCCATTAATTGTAGAAGGAGGAATAGCCAGCATGGTAATGCAATAAAAGAGTTAAAAGGTTCACAGTGTTAGATATGATTCCAGGGATCTACATTTGAATTTTTAGTAATTAACCATCTTGATAGTCCTTCATGGAGTTGAAGGTGTAATCTTGCGTGCCAATTTAGTTTGTTCAGTTGTCTGCATGTTAGATTTTCGTAGCATGTATCAGTTGGCTGAAAATAGTCTGGTGTACTAGAATTCAGTCGGTAGGTTTTGTTTTTTCTGTTCTGATGCAGCAGAGGTGGAGCTGGTAATCAGTAGTTGGAACCAGTAAAACCGTCGTTAGTTGTGCATGTAAGAACTTCATTTGAGGACTGGTGTATAAATAGAAGAAAAACTCACGAAAAGCTGCGAAAAGTTTGCAGGCCAAACTCTACCTTGCATCTCTGTTCTTCAGTTCTTCAGTTTTCTTCATATTACTGTAGCTGTCCGACACTCTTCAGTTAACCCAAAATTCAGAGTGAGAGAGGCTGTCTCGCACTGATTGTGAGTTAATGGCAGCATACCTACCACTCTACGACTACACTGTCAATAAATAGTCAGAATCTTCCATTCCATATTTCCATGTTATGAAAGGGGTGCAATTCACAAAACTCGAGAAGAAACAAAGAGAGGCCTAGAGATCATGGAAATAACCACTCTTGAAATAGCAATACAATATGAAAGAGAGGCATTGGGAGCTCAATTTTTAGCTGCGGCTAATCATTTCTATGGTGGATAACAACAACTCGGGATAAAATAGGCAGGAACACAAGTTAGACCAAAATTTAGTGTTTAATTTTCAAGCGTGTGGTCTATTTGACAGGGAAGATGTGTGATGAGCGCAAGAGATTAAGCCACACGAGATGCCTCCCTAGCGCTCACAGAGAAACGCGTTGTGGTTTGGTTGATGCATTATATTTATTTTTGTTACAGCAGTAATAAATCAGGTGGCCACACTAGAATAATCGCCAAACCAGCAAGTTAAATCATATTCGTTGAAATTTGGAAGTGTCATCTGAGGTTAAGCCTTCCCTGTGTCTTATCCTCAAACCATCCTCATCCTTTCTATTCTTTTTTTTATCAAAACTCGTACTATTATTTTGCAGATAACTTTAGTTAGTTGGTGATCTCAAAAGGATCCAAGTAGCGGTGAAAACATAGCAGATTCGGACATATAGTGATCATACCATATCCTAAACCATATTTTTTAAGCGGATTTGGAGCGAGTGCGGATAATATACGGATGCGGAGCGGATTGTATCGGATGTCAGATATGGTGCAGAATCAGTTTGGAAATGGATTAAATTTATCGGATGTTACATGTGTATGCAATCAATACAGCATCGAGTTAGCAATGCAAGGAGCAATAATAAAATAATCAATGAACAACCCGTCGTAATAATTATATGATTAAGTGCTAAACAACATGAATACATGATATTCATAATATAAAAATACAGCCACGCAAGTGTGACATGAGATGATGAAAGCCTCAGACTAAGAAATTTAGGTTAATTGATGAATTAGGCTATTGAATGGGCTAGCTCATGTTATATGCAATAGATAGAGTGGTTACATGTGTTGATAATTTTGGATTATCTGGCAAACGGCCTATCAGATAATTTGAAAGAAATGTCGGATAATCTGCATCCATCGAATTTTAGAGATACCATATCTGCATCATATATATACTATCCGCATCCGCATTCATTTCCGCCTGATTTCTAAAAACACGTACCATATCCTCATTTTGAACGGATTCGGAGCATATCGGATCGAATATTATCTGATCCGTTTTCACCCCTAGATCCAAGTATCTTTTATTATGGCAAAATTGACCATGAATACACAAACCCTGTGTTTTCTCCTGTCCGCATTTTTTTTTATTTTTTCATTCAGAAATCGTAAATCTTGTGTTTTCTCCCATCTGCAAAACGGGAGAAGAGGAGCATCGCCCTACGGGCAATATAATTGAACAGTATAACAGAATATTGACATATGCAAATACAAGTCTGGAGTCTCTTACGACAATTTCTCGAGAAAACTGACAACCCATTTTCCTTAGAGCTAAGCATCATACCTCAATATATCAGTGAAGAACAGAAACCCTTTTTTTCTGAGGTAATTCATTACCCCCTCCATATTTGCTAATGGATAAGCAAGAACGACACGAGAGTCCGAGTCTTATACTTGATCCAAGGTTATCCTGTGTCAAGTTAAGAGGTGGGCGTGTCAAGTACAAAATTGATCACACGATACATGTGAGATGCCTACACAGGCATTTGATGGATTATACATACTGATGTCATCAGACTAAGAACATTGCACTGTACACATCTCTAACTCAACTATAAATAACGAGGTTTATCTGTACATGGTATATATACAGGCAAGCCAAAAACAAAAGTCTCCTTAAATTATCAGAACTGAAGCTGCCAACCGAAATAGAAGAGGCCAGCAGGGCTTCACTATTTCAATAGGAATTGGAGGAACCAGGAATGCAGGACTTTGGCCACAAGATCCTTGTGATGCACGAGATTACAAGAAGCAGCGCCACTGGTTCAGATTTCGTGTGATCGCTGGATACTATGGATGGGTCGGCTTGATTGTATCCCGCTATCCCCGATTTCGCTGTTTACAACGGAGGCTCGTCATGGGCTTTCCTCTGCTTGTTCTATGCAGAATGGGTGCTTCCACAGGAGAAGGTGGTGATGCAGAGTTGTTCATTCTTGTTGCAATACAACGAGTAAGCACATAGTGAGGTGCTTCTGATCGATGTTCGGAACCATCCATCAGCTCATCAGGAATGTTGATTGAAAGTGGGTCAGGATGTCAAATAATCGAAACCCATCTAAAAGAGTGTTAAATTATCAAATCTCTGGGTGTTTGTACGAGTCGGCTTTTTTTTGGATGCTTTTTAGGAAATATATTGGGCATGGTTTCCAGTTTCCCAACGTCCATGATTTTTTCATGTCGCCATTGAGGAGGGGCAACTACCACCGATAGCGGTTTTGGCCGTCGAACGCTGGTTTTGATTTGGCCAAGGATGGAGATCCTGATTTTGCCAATTAGCTCGATTCTGTAGACTGGCCTGTTGATGGTGGTGCCCAGGGATTACGATTTCGGTTGCCACCGAAAATTTGAAAATGTCGTGATTTTCGGGTTTTTCGGACCGTTTAACATATTTTGACTGAGTTTGAACAAATTTTGACCAAATTTACAAATATTTGACAAAAAAACCAAAAATTCAGGGAGATTTGTGTTTGCCAGTGGGGACCGAAATTTCAGTACCCTACTCTCCTGCTTCATCATCGGTTGACCATTCTTGCTAGATAAGGTCCTTGTTTAATCATGGCACAGCCGCTACTAATTAGTTTTCTGATTTTACCACGAGTCTTGGTGGCTGCTGACCACTTGGGTGTTGGCTAGTCTACACGGGAAGCAACTCCCATTGTGATCATCAGGATGATCGGTTGCAGATTGCTGAAGGAGGTTCCACGGTTTCGAATGTTCGTGTGCGGCTCACACACTTGTTTTTGGTGGATGGCAGTCATCATAGACATGTGTTGCTCTCGGTGAGTTCTCAATCATTTTCTTGTTGAAGGTGTCCTTCCAGACTTCTGATGAAAATCTTTATCTGTTTTGAGATGACAGTGGCAGACAAGCAGCGCAGCGGGTTTTTCCTGAAGGCATTGTTACAGAGTAGGTGTCTAGCTCTTTGTGTTCTTTTGTCTCTTGTTCATGAGTCAGCTGCTGCTGCTGCAAGAGACAAAATGATATGTCTGTGTCTGTTTTAGGGTTTTTTTTTTCTTTTCTTTTCTCTTTCTTTCTTGGTTGTGTATACTTAGTAGATGGGGTGTAATTTTAGTGTCAATAAAATTCTTCCAATTATCTCAAAAAAAATGTCAAACAAACTTCCCAGTGTAAACATAATTCATTTATTTCCTTCTAAACCAAATATCAATAGACCTAGCTTTTTTTTTGTTGAAACAAAATTAATCAAAGTACAGGTTTTTACTCTGTGGGAACCAACTTTAATATACAGATATGCATATAAATTGTTCTCAAACCTGGTGCCCCAGCAACATTGGCCAGGATCCATATGCATAATTCTTTATGCCCTTAGTTTGATTTCCATTTTTCTCTAGATAGTAATCCATATAATAGGAAAAGGAGGCATCAGGAGTTCATGTCTAACCTATAGATTCACTACTAGGTGGAAGTGGACTATACTCCTTTTGCCATACAAAAGGAAAGAGCAACTCAAGGTAGCTTGAGAAGGCTTGAAAGGTAAGAAGTGTTGAATTGATTGGCACTTGAGCATCAATAGATACATCTGCATCTGCATACAAAGCCAGCGGCCACTAGGTCTCGACTGCAACTCCTTTAGTATGTAAATCCAACCTCCTTCTTGGTACAAGTAATCTACTTCCTGTCCAATGTACTAACCTGATCACCTTTCTTGTTCTCCTAACTCTGGTTTCTTCAGCATCTAAGATGATATTTATGCATCCGTCAATCTTTAACCGCAAAATTGCTGCCAAAGGATATATGTGGAATTTTGCAAAATACCACCTGTCATCAATAGTAGAATCAGCTTCTACTATATCGTATCCTTAGTGATTACTGATTACCTTGCAAAAGGGTCCCATCATTTGCAGATACACTTCGAAAGGTTGGGAATGTCAAAAGGAACCAACCATTTTTTTATTATTGTTTGTTCAGAAAACATAAACCTTGTGTTTTCTCATGTCTACAATTGTTCTTTCCATTCCGTAATCGTAAAATCTAGTATTGTCTGCCATCTACAAAATGCGAGCAAATGAGCATCATCCTACTCATATGTCAAGATCCAGGACTGTTTTGAACATAATATTGACAAATGCAAATACATGTTCAAAGTCTCTTATGAATATTTCTTGGGAAAACTTTGTTACCTTAATTGCCCATGTTGTCATATACTCCCTCCGTATTTTAATGTATGACGTCGTTGACTTTTTAACTAATGTTTGACTATTCATTTTATTCAATTTTTTTGTGCAAATATGAAAATATTTATGTCATACTTAAAGAATATTTAATGATGAATCAAGTCACAATAAAATAAATGATAATTACATAATTTTTTTAATAAGACGAATGGTCAAGCGTTGGACGAAAAGTCAACGGCGTCATACATTAAAATATAGAGGTAGTATTATATAATGAGTTAACATACCGTCAATCACTCAATTACCTTAATGAGTTACCTTAATTACCTAGGTTAGTATATATTATATAAATGGTCTAACAATTGTTACTCAAGTAGTCTAAGACATCCATCCCGAGTTGGTGTCTCACATATGGTGTGAGTTAATGGCATTGTGGCACCACTCTATTACATTGCCTATAAATAGCAAGAATCATACATTCATGTCAAGGAAGGAAGAAAGATACCTCATACTATTGTATATTGTAGGAGATGGAGTGATGGGAAGATCGAGTGATTGTCGAAATAATTATCATCCAAATAGTAAAGTTATGTAGGAAAGAGGGGCACTAGGAATTCAACTTATAGCTAAGGTTAATTGTTTCCAGAATTTAGTATGACACCTTGGTATAGAACAGGCAGGAGAACCAGATGAAAGCAAATTTTAAGTATAGTTTTTAAACATAAGATCTCACTGATCGAGGAGGATGGTGCCAGTGCGACACATATTCCTTCATAGCAGTCCAAGAAAAATGGTATTGAAGTGCGGTGAGTTCGGAAGCTATGGGCCTATAGAACAATCATTTTTCATGGTTCTTACCATACTTAAACTATCTCCTGCAGCACTATAAAATTCATAATTACCAAAGCAAATACAGGCTCAGTACTACCTTCGTTTCATTTCATATTATTAGTCGTTTTGATTTTTTTTCTAAGTTAAACTTCTATAGCTTTGATTAAGTTTATAGAAAAATAAGGCAATATTCTCAACATAAAACGAAGAAACTGTGAAAATATAACCAATGTTAGACTTAATAAAATTAATTTGGTTCTATAAAGATTTTTATATTTTTATATAAAAAAATCAAAGCACCTTATAATATGAAACAGATGGACTAGTATCTTGCAACACCTTTTCGTTAGAGCTAAGCTCCATGCTATTTGTTTGAACGTACAAGAGAACAACACTCACATCTTCTGATGAGGTAATCCATTATTGCCCCTCCACAGTTGCATACAGTCGTTTTCCTATACTTGATACAATGGATCATGGTTCAAGAAGGCGCTAGGCGCTAGTTGGGCGGATAGGGGGCGCCTAGCGCCTAATTGGCGCCTAGGCCCCGCCTAGGCGGCGCCTAGCGGGCGCCTAGGTCGGGTCAAATAGTTAAATTCAAGAAATTAGTAGGCATATTGCATAGAAATTAGACTATATAACACTAAAATAGCAATAAAACACTACCTAAGTAATTTAACCGCCTAATGCACCATTGAATGCCTAATCGCGGCGGCTACCCGGCGCCTAGCGCCTAATGGGCGCCTAGGCGGCGCCTAGGGCCGATTTTTAGAACACTGCAATGGATATACTGTGTTGCCTATCGAAACCTTATTTGGTGCCTTCTCTATCTACCACACAAACGTGGCTCCGCGTAGCCATGGCATGACGTACTGCTATTGAAATATGCTGCTCACAGAGTCATCGCGATGAGCATGCCAGATTATTTCTGCTACAAGGTTCGGCATTGATGAGAGAACTGTGTGTAGAGGAAAGCATTTGTGCTCTAGTAGCAGAATGGAGTTTATCACAATAATTTCCTCAAGCGAAAGGCATGTAGCCTAGTGATTGTAGTGATCTGAATAGCACCCTAATGTTCTGAGTTTAAATCTTCATATGAGCGAATTTCAGATTGGGTTGTTTGAGACACAAGAATTCGAAAGGACCATAACTGTTGAAAGTGATGTAAGTAGCAACACATCCTGCTATCTTTTTGAAGTCAAATTACTGTGCAGTACCAAATAAAAAGATATTGTGCATGTGCGTTTGAACATGTGCGTTCCTGAATTAAAACAAAGCTAATAACTAAATGAACTCACCAAGAACGCAAGAACTAGATCCACACTCAACTAGATCAAAAGCAAACACCATCTCTCCCACTTACTAGCACTAAGTAGTTGTGTTGATGTGCTCAAGTGGAATATAGTATAATTATTACTCTACCATGTTATTTTTAGGTTCACTTTGATTTGTAGGAAAAACCTAGGAATCTTGGAGAATTTTAATCTTATGTGAAAAATTCATAGGAAGACCTTTGAAAAAATGGTTGAATCCTATCCTTTCAAAATCCTCTAATTTGCAATCATGTATTCCATACCCATCCAAATCATGTGTTTTTCCTATTTCTCTATTTTTTTTTCAATTCTGAGTTCCAAAGAAGCCCTTATCTTGATCAAACGTATAGCCAAACATGCCTTGGGGCTCCTTTGATGAATCGTGGGATTCAAAAAAAGGAGGAATAGGAAAACATAGAATTTTGACAGGCAAAATAAAAGATTGCAGAACATAGGAAAATACATGAATAGACATTTGTTAAGACTACTAGAAAAACGCTAGAATTTGAGGAGAAATAAATATTCATAGAAAATTTTCCATGAAGTTGGAGTGTTGGACCTCATGATAAAATTTCTCCAAAGCTTTCAGAGGTCAAGGCATTCCTTACGAGTTTCTTATTCAATCTTTTTTTTTCAAAGAACCATACAGGAAATCCTAAAAAAATTCCTATTGTTTTTCCTTTAAATCAAAGAACCTTTAGTTTGCCAGATGGTCTTGCAAGAATGGCACATCATACTACATGGTTCCTTCCAACAAGTCAACTGCTCCAATATTTTCACATAGATGTTACAATAAATTTACTGCCAAACATGAAGGCAGCATGAGTGCTATAATCCAAGTAAAAACCGGCCTGGATTTCACAAAACTGTATAGTCCAGACCAGGTCAAAAACACAAATTGTTTGTCTTTTTGTTAAGTTCAAAAAGTCAAAGTGAATTTTGATTTATTACAAGATTTGTCTAGGTTTAATCGATTTTTATTGGTATATCAACGGCTTATGCAAAATCCGAAGATATTGCTCATGAGCGGTTTTTAATCTAGTATTCGGATTGTGAACCCTAGCTACAGGGCATAGATAGCCTCTGCCCCCTTCCCGTTTTAACAAAGCTTGGGTGGCCAAATCACCCAGAACTTAGTCTTTTTTCTAACTTGTTACTCAAGAAGAGATGTCCCAACTTGCCAGGAATCCAAGATGCACCTATGTGGGTAGGCCGGCCACTGGGTATCAATTACCCATACTCGTACTATTTAGGAGGGTTGTGGATAAAGATGAATTACTCATTTGAATTTTGGTGTTGAGAGGGTAATACATTTTTACTCATTTCATCCATACCAATTAGATGGGTATAAAACAATAAAACATCATACCCAACATTTTTTAACCCATCTTCACATTGAGAAAAGTTGTCAAATTCAACTAGATTTTTTTAGATTGGAGATGATTTATTATAAAGAAGAGCAACTATGTGCAAATTATAAGTCATTTATGCATGTCGGACCAACATGTATCATTTTTCTTATCCACTAAATTAGATGGCAACAGATCTATACCACCGGATTTTCTTACCCCATACCCACCCCCATGATCTGCTCGCAGGTGCAAAATTCTCCCCATACCCACACCCGTGCAGGTAATGGATACCCATTAGGTACTCATACCCACTACACTAACTTAGAGCACTTGTAATTTTGCACAATAATCAAACAATTACGATGGCAACAATCAATATTATATTATGTAACCTTGATTTTAACATTAACATTCGAAAGCAAGTAAACAAACCATACCAAAATTAGACCATATATGACTAGTAAACAAATCGTGCTAGAATTAAACCATATGTTAACATTTAAAATGAAGTAAACATCATGTTACGCATACGGGCTCTTTTTACCCATGGATTAATGGGTACAGGTGGTTAAAGAATAAACCCATACCCACCTACTCGACGGATAAGGATTTTTGTCCAATAATAAACTCATAGGAACAAGAATTAGACCGTATGTGACTAATAATAAGATAAAAACCTATCGGGTCTTGGATTATGGGGTTCCTTTGCTATCTGGCCATACCCATAGGATCATACCCATTCTATGGCCTTGTTTAGATCCTCTGGGCTATTAAATATCCCTCTGGAATCTTGCTATTTAGAAGTATTAAACGTAGATTAACGACAAAATCGATTCCATAACCCCTAGGCTATTTTGCTAGACGAATCTAATTATGTATATTAATCCATGATTAGCGGCTAATTACTGTAGCATCACTGTAACAAATCATGGATTAATATACCTCGTTAGATTTGTCTCGCAAAATAGCCTAGGGGTTATGGAATGGGTTTTGTCAGTAATCTACGTTTAATACTCCTAAATAGCAAGATTCCGGAGGGCTATTTAATAGCTCTCCGGATCCAAACAGGGCCTATATAGAAATTAAAGTGTGGAATTGCAAACCTCCCTAGTGGCAGTGGACACGTAGGTGCATGGGTATGGCTGTAGCGTGTGTTTGACTTGTACTCGGGAAAAGAAAGAAAGAAAACAAAAACAATTTTCATCTAATTTATTTATAAAAAAAATGAAAAAGGGAATTGCAAACTTGCAAACGGACAAGCAACTCGATGAAATTGCACGCTCACCGGCTTAATTTCTTTACTCAAGAGGCCAAAGCATCCATACCAGTACTACCAGTCTGTTGTGAGTTAATGGCATTGTACCACCACTCTACTACTTTGCCGATAAATAGCAGGGATCATCTATGCCATGTCAAGGAAGGGAGATGATTCATAAAACTCTAGGAGACGAAAGAAATGAAAGTAAGATCTAGTAATCAAGGAAATTAATCATCGGCTGAAGAGTAGCAAGGTTCAGTAGGAAAGAGAGGCACGAGGAATTCAACTTGTAGCTGAGGGCAATTGTTTCCAGAATTCAGGTTGATCATCGTCCAGAAAGCAGAGGTACAAAGTATTATATGAAGGAGAGGCGTTTTAACTTATAGCTAAGGGTGGTGGCTTCCGGAACACCAACTTATAGTTGAGCTTCTGAGGCAAGGATGACGACGCCTCCATAGGTAGGAGCATCAGATGCCTCCTTGGTTGTAGGTAAGAGCGTCATATGTCCCCTTGGTTGATTGTAGCCAGGAAGAGCGTCAGATGCCTCCTTGGTTAAGGGGAGAGAATGTGTCTCAGATGTAGATATGGAACTCTAGAACAAACGGGATTCTTACTATACTAAAAGTTTTAGCATAGTAAAATTGCCTCATGAGTAATTGTAAAATTCATAATTACCAGAAGCAAATACAAGTTTGGAGTCACAAAAGGCAGTTTCAACATAAAACTGGCAACACTTCTTCGTCAGAGCTAAGCATCATTTGCATTACTTCCAATATATCAGTGAACAGCACAAATCTTTTCCTTGTCCCTCAACAGTTGCTAAAGGATGAAAGAACTGCACGAGACTGATTCTCTTATACTTGATACAATGGATATCCTGCGTCGAGTTAACAGGAAAACACTATTTAGTGGGTGCAAGAACAAAATTGATCACACGATACATGTGTGATGCCTACACGGCACTACAACCTTATTTAGTCTTGTCACCAAAATTGATTCCTACGCAGATGGGCACAACCATCAGGTGCCTTCTCCACACCACACAAATGTGGCATCGCGGTAGCCATAGCATCCGCCGCTATTGAAATATGCTGCTCACAGAGCCATCGCGATGAACATGCCAGATTGTTTCTGCCACAAGGTTCGCCATTGAGAGCACTGTCAACTGGGGGAAGCATTTGTGCTCTGGCAGCAGAATGGAGTTTGTCACAATAACTTCCTCAAAGATGCCTCCAGAGAGCCTTTCAATCGCAGGAGGGCTGCAAAGACAGTGCTAGTGGGAAAAAGTAGGTGTGGTAAACGACTTACTTTTATGCCTACAAAATAGTGCAGGAATACAAAAGGACAACAATTTTTGCAAATGAAGTAAGTGGCAACACATCCTGCTATTATTTTGAAGTCAAATTACTGTGCGGTACCATGTAAAAAGACATCATGCATGTTGATGCTAATAAAATTCAAGACTTCAATTGAGGACTTGAGGTCCCTTCCTAAATCAAAATAGCCAGAAAAACATATGCTGATATGTGTGGCACAGATTCATGACTACTAATGAAATAGAGTCAACAAGAACCAGATCCGCACTCAACTAGATTAAAGCCAACCTCTTTTCCAGACTCCCACTTACTAGCACTAAGTGATTGGTGTGCTCAAGTGGAATCTAGTAAAATTATTGCTCTACCCTGTCATTTTTATATTGATCAAACATAAAGCCAATCTGCCTAATCATGCCATAACATGGTTCCTTCGCAACAAGCCAATGAATCAATACTATTACATGGATCATGGATGTTACAATAAACCAACTGCCAAACCTGAAGACAGCATGTGTGCTACAAGCATAGACAGCCTCTGCTCCCTCCTGTTTTAACAAAGCAGCTGCACTAGTAATTGTTCCTGGGATGTATTAAAAGAAAAAAATGAGATTAATAATTGAACGAGCGCACTACAAAATATGCAGAATCTTACCATTATGAAAAGATGCTAACCTGCTGTGTCTATCATATCATCAACCATGATGGCGACCTTACCCTTCACATCACCAATTAAGTGCATGACCTGCAGATGGCCAGCAATAGGAAATTCCAGATTACTATTTAGCAGCCTCATACATCTAAGTTGTGAACCATGAATTGCAAGTAGTTGCCCAAAAATCATGGCAAAATCAATAAGAGGATGGCTGGGTTCAGTAAAGCATCTAACTGTATTAATTAATTGTCGGGTAATCAGAAAAGTTGCTTTTTATCCTACTTTCAGCCTATGCAGCAGAGATGAAATGTGTAGGTGTAACTTCAAAATTGGAGTAGATCAAATTCAAGGAAACTTGTTCCAACCTCTGACATGTTGTGACCCTGTCTTCTCTTATCAACGATAGCTAAAGGGGCATCAGATAATTTCTTAGCAAATGCACGTGCTCTGACAACACCACCCACATCAGGAGAAACCACCACAAGATCCTTAGATATTGTCTTACTGGCAAGGTAATCCAGAATCACAGGCTACATATAACAAAGATTCAATCGTTACTTTGCTGCCAACTCAGATCCAGCTAAGAAAATTGCGTACAACTGAAAACAGCATTTAGGTAATAAAAGGAACATATCTTGGTCTGTTAAGAGTACCTGTCCATGTATATGATCCACAGGAATATCGAAGTATCCCAATGCTTGAGTGGAATGAATATCACATACAATTACACGATCACTCCCAGCTTCTGTAAGTAAATTAGCAGAAAGTTTGGCAGTAATGGCCTCACGTCCTTGAGCCTACACTACAAAAGAATCAACTTAGTTCATGAAAACAAAAGTGCATTCACATGAGGGAGAAACAGTGGTCATGAAACATTGCAAATAGTGTTCAACAGATTCAGCCAACATAATAAAGCAAAAGGAATTGCTAATGTTTGGAAGGGAAAATCCATAAGGGGTCCAGCGAGCACATTGCTGAAGCAGAGATAACAGAAAATGGCAGAGAAAAGGTGCTTGTAGCAAGTAAACAGGTAGAAGATATGGTCATATTCTGATTTCTGTAATTATGCTTTTCTTGTCAGGATTTGTAAAAAGCATAATAAACACTATCACCACCAATCTGCGTGCTTAATGGCTTCTGTAGTATCATCTGAACGTTAATTTTGACCCCCTTTAGTACCAGCAGTGTCAGTGTGTAATAAATTTAAGTACACCACAATAGCAAAAATCTTAGACAAGGAAAAGGGTTACATCCACTAGAAATGGGACAGTAACAAATTAGCTACCACGATAAGGGAAGAAGATATCCAGTAAAAATGAAATTGCATGATGATCAGTACAAACACACTTGGCATACCGCAACAGCCATCAATTAAGAGTTTATACATACCTTTCTGTCAGCTCTGGCATACCCAAAGTATGGAATGACAACAGTAATAGACCTCGCCGACGCCCGCCGACATGCGTCGATCATGACAAAAAGCTCCATAAGGTTTTCATTAACAGGGGAGCAGGTGGGCTGCACCAAGAACACATCGCAACCCCTCACACTCTCCTGCAGCTGCACGTAGATTTCCCCATCGGCAAAACGCTTGATGAGGACCTTACCCAGGTCTACACCCAAGTAAGAAGCAATTTCCTGCAAAACGAAACAAAAAAACAAAAACAAAATTTTCAGAACTAAGGTCCAAAAAGGTCGCCTTCATATCCATCGTGGATAACACACATACCAATCCATAGCACAAAAGGTGCAGCCGAGCCAAACTCAAATACAATTATGCAATTATCAAATTATCCCAGCCAATCGCATACAAAACAAGAGACCGTACAAAGCTGTACTCCCTTATAAAATTGGAGATGAAACAAAAAAAAACTCTGGTTCATGAATTTTACTAGGAGTATGTAACAGTAACAGGGGCAAAAAGCAACCTGCGCGAGGGGGCGATTGGCCGTGCCGGAGAAGATCTTCAACCTGGAATCCCGCCCATCGGTGCGCAGCGCGGCGAGCCTCGCCTCCTGCGCGGGCGCCCGCGGCGTCCACACCGCGGGGGGCGCGCTCCTCGGCTCCGCCACCCCCATCCTCTTCTTCGTCTTCCCTTCCTCCTCCACCACCACCCTCACCTGCTCGCTCCCCATCACGCACCTCTACGCACACACAAAAACAAAAACCAAAAATCACAAACCGCGCCCTCGCGCGCCAATCGACATCGAATCACCCCGCTCACTCACCGGCGTGCGGGCGCGGAGAGACGCCGCGGGGGAGGAGAGGCGGCGGGAGGAGACGAACGGGGAGGAGGAGAGCGCCGCCGCCTTGGCCGCCATGGGGGGAGGAGGAGGAGGTGGGATTAGGGTTTTTGCGGGAGGGTGAGGGTTTGTGGGCGTTGGAGCTCGCGGGGAAGGGAAGGGGAGGAGAGGAGGTGGGTGATGGTGGCGATGGCGCCGTCGAGGTGTTGCCCGTTTTGGGGCGGCTTTTATCGATGGGTGGGTTGATTGATTCCCTTTTCTGAGGTTATGTACTGTACTGAGGTTGGGGGCGGCCGTGATTTGTCTGGTCTAATTTTGGCACTGTTTGAAAATGAACAAATGCACGATTTGAAATTTTGGGTGCCAAATATAAACGTAAAATTGTGTCGAAAATGGAAAAGGACGAGATTTGGGAATTTGGGTGTTAAATATAAGCGTATAAATTTGTGTCGAACATAGAAATGAACGCAAAATAACTTCTCGAAAATGGGATGAAACGCAGATGAGTTGTTGGAGAGGTGGTGCCGTGGTGGGAATGAGATAGCTCCAGCCTAAACACAGGATTGAATGAAAGATAGGAAGGCAGAAAACATAGGGAATTTTTTGGGTAGCATTAATTCCTTGCAGATATATAGAATTTCTGCTTTTTCTTATCGCTCGCTTTTTTCACTTGTGTCCTTGAGTTTGCAGGATTTTTCTTAACTGTTCAAGCTTGCCATATCATTTTCTTTTTTACTCCCTCCTTCCAAAAACACCAACTTTTTAAAAACTCCTTCTCTACCACGTACAATAAGGGTGTGTTTACTTCATACTAAAATTGAAAGTTTGATTGAAATTGAAACGATGTGATGGAAAAGTTAAAAGTTTATGTGTGTAGAAAAGTTTGGATGTGATGAAAAAGTTAGAAGTTTGAAGAAAAAGTTGGGAACTTAATCAAGCCTAATTCTAAACATGTGTCAGAGGAATAGTGGTACTCTCTCTGTCCAAAAAAACAAATATAAAGCTAAGTACTAGGTTGGTTTTTTTATAGGACGGAGGGAGTAGGTTATACTGTGCACGTGGTTCGTGCAAGGCTGTCTACCATACGATCACCCAACGAGAAGCTGTCTACATTCAGAAAAACACGACAAACTCAGGTGGGTAACTGCATAATACGCGTAGTGCTGACTTTTCGCGGCTGCTTTGCATTGCAACGCCTGCGGTCCACCGCGTCCACCTCCACCACCGCCGAAAGCCACCGTTGTCGCTATAGCACGTGGACCCCACACCCCCCGCCACGTGTGGGGCCCACGTGGCAGCCCCTCGTGACGGCCGTACAGTACGGGCCTTCCAGCTTCCAGCTTTCTAGGCGGCTTGGATGAACCGATGAAACGCCAGCGCCGCCTGCGTCCGTCTCGCGACTCACACGTGCCCAAGGAAAGGGTAAAACCGCACGAGCCAAAAAAAAAAAGAAAAGAAAAGGAAAGAATATAAAAAGATCGAGCAATGCAGCACGAAATGGAAGAGAAGGACGGAACGTTCTCCTGCTAAATGCTAATGACCCACTTTTTTTTTTGTTTATCCCGTCTGCTTTTTTTTCTTCTCTTCCACTTCGTTAACCTTTTTTTTTCTTTTAGCAGCAGACATTGACACATTGTTACGTGTCTTAGTTTGAAACCTCTCTTTTTTGCCTCGCTTTGTTTCCGTGGTCGGCGTGAGAATCGCTAGAATCACAATTAACTCATTCAATTGTGCATGTCATCTACAGTAACTATTAGATGCCGCTCCATCCAAAAACAATCATTTCTGTCTGTAAATCTAGATGTTTTATGTTCAGATTCAGAGATAAAAGTGTTAGGACGGATGTAGTACTTAATAATTGTGGCGCGTATTAGCAAATACTCTCTCTATCCCAATTTAATTATTATATTTAAAAATAGCGTTGGGACCATATGGTAAGAAAGCATCCTTTCTTCTAAATTACTGGTACCTTTTTCAGTATATTGCAATAACTAATGAAAAAATGCACGTCCAGTAAAAATAAATTCAATAGAGTCGACCATTAATGTGAATGGAGTTAGAGTGGAAACACCACCCAGCAACCCCGGGCACACGCCTGGGCTCATCGCCAAACACATAATAGAAATTTGTTTACTCCTATTTCTGTTTCGAAACCATCTAAATTTTGTTTTCTTTCCTTCAGTAAGTCCAAACGATCAGAAATTGCGCCATATATCGATCAAAATTATAGTTTATATTCCTACTATTTGTTTAATAAGATTTCAACATTTAGCCAATTTATTTGTTCCAATATCCTGTGTTTTGTTTTTCCTACATTGTTTCGAGGGTACAAATTCTCTATTTTACGTGTTTTATTTATTTATTTATTTTGTCATTTATATTTTAAGATAATAGAATGAAACATCCCGGCCTGTGCTCAAAAGAGTTACAGCTAATTATTACAATCTAGCACTCTAGAAAAAGTGTAATCCCAATTAAATAGAACACACCAACCAAAATAGATAAAAAAAAACAAAGCAAACCAAGATAAGGAGAACACATTTATTTAAGACTATTTGTGAATCTCCATCCATAGTTGGCAAAAAGTTGCATAACCATCGTCTCCAGCTTACGACATGCAACTTTTAAAAACTCTCCATATTCATCACACCTTTGTAACTGTGCCCAAAACCAGAGCTAATATGTTGTTCTGAAAATTACTTGCATATATGAAATAGATGGTGATTTGTCAAAAACCATATCATTCATACTCAACCACGGAGCCCAACAAATGGCAGAGGCTCCTACAAGAATCAGTTTACTCTTTCTCTTGTCAACCCCAAAAGCCAACCATAAAAAATATGAGATATGCTAACAGGAAGATTAAGACCAAAAGAGAAGTGAACTGCTCTCCATATGAACATTGCATAATGACAATCCATGAAGATGTGTTGAATAGTCTCATTCTTCATACAGAAACAATATTTTAAACTACCATTCCAATTCTTTCTCGCCAAATTGTCCTTGGTTAACACAACCTTTAAGCAAGTACCATATAAATATCTTAATCTTAAGTGGCATCTTAAGCTTTCAAATACTTTTATTCCTCTCAACATAACCATTATTAATTAGAGCTAGATACATTGACCTAACCGAAAACATGTCATTCTGATGATTATTCCATCTAAAGCAATCAGAAGAAAGATTCAACTGAATATGTATAATAGAAGCACACAAATCATGCCAATAAACAAGATTTTATCTAACTAAAGCTCTCCTAAAAGACACATTTGTCGACGTTTGATGTCGTGATTCCGGTATTTGCATGGTATGGGGATCGTCGGTGCTAGGATATACGTGAGACTGAGGTAAAAGAGACGGAGACAGGGATTTTTATACAGGTTCGGGCCCCTGAATTATCAGGTAATAACCCTACATCCTGTTGGCCGAAGCCGGTATTGCTCTTATTCACCATAATCACACCAATACAATATTTGGGATAGCCTATCTAACTGTTGTCGACATGGCGGTCTGAAGGTCTGACTCGTAGTCGACAACAGGGTAGTCTTCCTCCTCGAGTTCGTGCCCGGCGAGATCAGAGATAACGCTTTCGTCTCTCCTGACAATATCCGGAGACACCGTAGGGACTAGCCGTGCTTATCCCTGAAGTCGATATCCGGCGTCTTGTCTTGGCGTATGTTGGCTTGTATGTTGTGGCTTCTGTTGTTCCATAGATTGTGATGGTTCTGTCGATCGTGGGTGTCTCCCATGGTGGGTGTAGATTGTCCCCTCTCCTCCTAGGGGGTCTTGTATTTATACCTATAAGTGTTCCCTTCTCCAAGTAGAACTAGGGAAACCAATATGGATACAATCCGAGTAGTCATTGTCGTTCACATGTAGAACTCTGGTTGTCTTTCCTTATCCGGAACTCCTCCTATATCCGCAGGTTGTTTCCGTATAGGACATGATATGTGGTGGGTCCTGCCGAGATTTAGTCAACTACTATTAGGTATGTGGTATCCATAACTCTGACAGTAGCCCCCGACTTCAATGCAAATGAACGAATTCATATTCTCAACCGCGCGCAGACCTTGGAGGAACTGTTATCAAGCTCATGTGACCGTTCTCGGTGAGTTCAGAGATAACGTTAGACTTCCTTTATCAGCTTTATCTCGGCGGATACACCATCTCTTCATTCCGTATTCCTTGTCGATATCCACCAACCGTTCTCGAGTGATCGAGAAGGCGCAGAGTCTGCGACGGAGCCTTGTCAACATTTGTCGTACTCGCCTTAGTTGATCTTGGTGTAGAACCATAGAGACATGCGGTCTTCAATAATGTCAAACAGAATTTTCCTGAAATCAATACTCAGAAAAGAATATTAGATAGAAATAGCCCCCGAGCGAAAGGGTTCTCACTGGGTGACATGTTATAATATGTATGGAAAACTGAAGATGAATTAAACTTACAGACCAATGTTTTGTATATGAGCGTCTACTCTTTTATCGACTTCGATCAGTCAGTTTGTTGAGTTATACACTCTCCCTAGCCCTCAGCCTTGTTGTCGGAGAATCGTTCTCGGAAGATAAGGCTCTTGGACCTTTGACCTGCCTCGGTTGAACAAGCACTGATCCTAGCCCCCAGCCGTGAAGTTGGAAAACCCAATTTCCGATTACACGGCTTGGTTAATACGCACGGCGAGAACTCTTACACGACCAGATCTTACATGGTCTTTCGTCTCTGAAGGATCCGACAAAGCCTTATCTGCTCTGGGTGTCCCCAGCCGAAGTTCCCTTAGGTTCCTCAGAGGCTTTGTCAAGACGACGTAAAGGGACATTAGGATAGGTTTCAACGCCAAGTGTCTTTTGTGGTAAGGGATCTCTGGGTAAAACACTTGGCGATATTGTGTTCCTGATATCAACTTTGTTGAAGTAGAGGTAATGGGAGAATCGCTACACCTCTGGTCAAGAACCAGGTAGTAGTCATAACTCAACCACTAGAAGTAAATGTACGAGAGATCGCTACGAGTGACTGGTTGAGAACCAGTGAGTAGGTGTCTCTCGATCATTTGAAGTCGTGGTGCGAGGACTGCTGCGTTATTGCTGTAGTCGTACCTCGACCATCTGAGGTTGCGGTGCGAGGGATTGCTACGTACTGGTTCGAGGACCAGCGAACATGTAGAATCATCTCTCGAACACCGATGGAAGCACTAGAGTTGGTTTATTACATGTGCATCTCATGTGGCCAGCATGACTCACACACCCAACTTGTAGCATATCCGGATGTCCGTTCGCAATCATGTCGGGTGATTAAGCAGACAACGTTCACGAGGAATTATCCGTTAATAACCTTTTCTCAAATAGTCCAGCCATGGCTGGTGCTATGAGATAGGTCGTCGGTCTTCGTTGGTAGGTTGGGTGCGACGACTCTGCATTTGTCGAGATCATTCTCGATAACGCGGTGTACTTGACCACAACCTATTCGAGTGCTCAATTGTTCCTGAAAAATATTTTCTAGAAGACAAGATATATAGCAGAGAATATCGAGTATGTAGTCAAAAAAACTGCATGGATCTTCTAGTATTATCAGGATATAACGAGCAGATGTAA